GCACAGGCTCTAAGTCTTAATGTATCACAGGCCATGGTTTAATCAGCCATTTCACTTTTAAATATCAAAGGTGACCATCTTGCCAATCCAAGGCAGCAGGTCCTCCTGCTCTCCACCCTGTGGCCTCAGCTCAGCCAGTCCATGCTTTCTAGTACGTCACTTGTAGCACTTCACTTCCTGGTACCAGTCTCTTTTATTAGGTAAGATGCTTTCTGTTGCAAATAATAGAAAATCCAAATGAAATAGCTTAAACAATAAAGAGAAATAATTGGCTTACGTGACTGAAAACTTGAGCGATGTGGGGCGGGCTTCAAGTGCAATTTGATTCAGAGGTTTATGATGTCGTTAGGATTCCAGTACCAATTCTGTGTTATTTTCTTGCCCTGACTTGCTCCATGTGTTGTTGTCTTTCTCCTCAGAATAGCTCCCCTCAAAGATGGCTGCAGCAGTTCCAAGTATCATATTTGCAAGTTACACCACCCAGAGGTAGAGAGAAACTTTATCCCAATATTCTAAGCAAAAGTCCCAGGCTCAGTCACATGCCTAGCCCTGAATCAATTACTTGGCTAGGAGATGGGAATATGTTAACTGTCTTAGTCTAGATCACATGCTATATTCCTGGAGTATGTGGTAGAATCAGCTTTCCTAGAACAACATGAATCCCATGGGGGCTCTTGGGAACAGTGAAGGTAGATATATATATGTGACAGCCAAAAAGGATCCTCCATGCTCTACATAGATCTCATTGAATTCTCCCCATAACTCCATGTGAATTCTTCAAATGGCTTATGGAAATGTTGAGTTAGCAGGCGATTATGGAATTTGTTACTGTGGTAAGCATAGCTCCTTCAGAGAAAAACAAATCAATTTCATTGACTAATTGAAACACTTCATCTCACATATTTTGGATATGTTATCAGGAGGGACCAGTCCCTGGAGAAGGACATCATGCTTGGTAAAGTAGATGGTTGGCAAACAAGAGGAATACCCTCAACAAGATGGATTGACACAGTGGCTGCAACAGTGGGTTCAAGCATAACAAGGATTGTGAGGATGGCTCAGGACCGGGCAGTGTTTCATTCTGTTGTACACAGGGTCACTGTGAGTCGGAACCAACTCAATGGCACTTAACAACTGCAACAACAATTGAAACACTAATTTCACTAAGATGGCGAAATGAACCAAACCAAGGTTGGAGATGGTGGTCACAGTATGGGAAAACAGTTCATTTGCAGGAAGATATGGAAGTGTACCCCATGCCATCTTTTAGGTTTTCCATTAAAAATGGAAAACCTTGGGAATGAGGGAGGGTGTCACTATTTCCTCCCCCAAAGTACTTAGATCCATAGATAGATAAAAACAAAACACTGTGGTTGAATGACTAGACTGAATGAATGCTGGTGTCACCTTTTCAGTTTGGTTTATTTTTGCATTTTGGTTTGCAAAAGTTATGTTTCCAGAGTTTTTCATTTTTGCCATTTGCCTGTAACTCAGTATTTATTTTATCTCTCCCCCGACACCCCTTCAGATTATAAAGTTAGGGTCAAAAACCAAACCCTGTGCCGTCGAGTCGATTCTGACTCATAGCGACTCTACAGGGCAGAGTAGAGCTGCCCCATAGGGTTTCCAAGAAGCAGCTGGTGGATTCAAACTTCTGACCTTTTTGGTTAGCAGCCGAGCTCGTGACCACTGAGCCACCAGGGCTCCTTAAAGTTAGAAGTGTAAAAATAATACAAACTTGCTTGAAATTTAAGCTTGGAAAGATGGTGAGGCACACTACAGGGGAAGTCAGCACAACTGGACTAAACCAAAGCTAAGAATTTTCCTGAATACAGTCAAACACTTTGAGGGACAGAGTAGCAGGGGTAGGGGTCTGGGGACCATGCTTTCAGGGGACCCCTAGGTCAATTGGCATAACAAAGTTTATTAAGACAATATTCTGCATCTTACTTTTGTAAGTGGCGTCTGTGGTCTTAAAAGCTTGCAAGTGGCCATCTAAGATGCATCAATTGGTCCCAACCACCTGGAGTAAAGGAGAATGAAGAACACCAAAGACACAAGGAAAGTATCAGCCCAGGGGACAAAAAGGGCCACATAAACCAGAGACTTCATCAGCCTGAGACCAGAAGAACTAGATGGTACCCGGCTACCACCAGTGACTGCCGTGACAAGGGAACACAACAGAGAGTCCCTGATGGAGCAGGAGATAGGTGGGGTGCAGAACTCAAATTCTAGTAAGAAGACCTGACTTAATGGTCTGACTGAGACTGGAGGAACCCCAGAAAGCATGGCCCCTGGATTCTCTATCAGCCCAGAACTAAAACAATTTCTGAGGCCAACTCTTCAGACAGGAATTAGACTGGACTGTGGGACATAAAGTGATACTCATGAGGAGTGTGCCTCTTAGCTCAAATAGATACAAGAGACTAAACGGACAGCTTCTGTCTGGAGGTGAGATGGGAAGGTAGAGAGGGTTAGGAGCTGGTTGAATGGACATGGGGGTGGAAAGGAGGACTGTGTTGTCACAATATGGGGAGAACAGTTAGGGTCACATAACAATGTATGTATGAATTTTTGTATGGAAAAAAAAAAAGATGGTGAGGCAGGTTTAATTTTAAAGAAAGACTGGCTGCTTAATTATTGTTACCTGCAGCGAATCCATGTTGTCTTTCTGCAGCTGTTTCTATAAATAGACTTTATATACAGAAATCCACCCTGGGGCAAAGAGTTCCCATTCAACCTCCTTGCTTAATTTAAATTGCTGGTTTGAGGTGGTTATTTTTGAAACTCTTCTCAGGTTGACTTCCCCTTTAATCCCTAAACCTTCTTCCACCATCTGCCAAATTATATGTAATGCATGGCGACTATAGTGCTTTTGACACTGTGTGAGTCTGAGAACTTGAAATTTGATTTAAATGGTAATTTATTGTGACAAAGGTTGGGTACTGACTTTCCTGTTACTGTGCAAGTCTTGCCATGGACTTTGGCGTTGGACCAGCTGTATCCCTGACTTCTTTTGCACCTCCAGGGAATGGCAAGTACCTGTCTTAAGGCCGCTATTGTTAGATTTTAGTGATATCTGTGGACTTTCTTCCAGGTGTAGGTGGCATGAAATTAAAAAAATATATATGTGTGACAAAAAAGTACTCTGTTTTTATTTTTTAAAGTATTAAACACTTCCTTATGTATGTGATGGTTTTTGTTTATGGGACAACATCTTGGTTTTATCTTGGCCTTTCTGTTTTGACTTTTTGGATCATATTTTACATTTTTTTCCCTAAAAAATAGGGTCAGAAATAAAGAATGTGTCTATGAATTCACACAAATTTCTAGTAATTAATAGTAAAAAATTACTTAATTGCTAGCGCTTCCCAGTTCTGTCTAAAACAGCTCAACTAACTGTAGCTTCTGTTGCCTCTAAGAGACCTATTGGATGTCCTAGACTAGAGTAGGAGGGCAGTTATTTAAATTGTTAAGATTTACAAGCAGACAAACCTTTATAAGATATAGTATGCTTGGATGACTTTAATGAAAGACTCAAATGCATCTCCTCTCCCTCCAGCATTACCTGTTGCCGTCGAGTTGATTCTGACTCATAGTGACCAAGTAGGACACAGTAGAACTGCTCCATAGGGTTTCCAAGGAGTGGCTGGTGGATTTAAACTGCCAACCTTTTGGAAAACGGCCTGAGCGCATAACCTCTGTGCCACCAGGGCTCCAAGTATTGGGGGCATGAATATACTGAAGTATTTATTTGTACCCTGAAGTGTTAATGCAGTATGACTTCTGCTTTGGATACATTTACAGGAAATGGCTCTGGTGAATTTGGTTCCTCATCTTGATAACATTAGAAAAGGTGACACACACACACACTTCCCTGTGTGCATATATTTGAAAGAATTTTAATACTCTTGACAACAATTAGATTTGAAGCCTTGGAGATTTAACATTCCACTGTTGGGTGGCCACCTTACACATTGGTAATGGGGTAAAATGCTGCCTTTGTAGTGTGCCTGTGTTTCTACTTGGTAGACTTTCTCTTTCAGCCAAAGGTAAACTATAGTATTTCTGGTCTATTCGTTGAATGTTAATTTGATTTTACTGTCATAGTGGCATGTCTGTTGGAATGATAATTAAGAACATTGAAGTCACTCTTGACAGGTTACTCTTGACAGGTTATATTATATAGGCAACCTCTGATTTACAAGTAGGTTGTGTTCTTTTCTTTCTAAGGTAGTTTTGAAGGCTTGTAATGAAAATATCCCCCATAGATGCCGTGCTGTAAGTGATGATTGAGTTCTTTAACACAGAATGGTGCATAGTCTTCAGTAACTATAAGCAAGTTTCTTCATCTGTCTGAATTTACATTTCCTTATCTTAAAATGGGGGTAATGATAACAGTTCCTACCTTATAGAGTTACTGTGAGGATTAAATTATTTAATGCATGTAATGTTCTTGGAATAGTTTCTGATATCTGGCAAGTGCTTAGTAAATGGTAGCAGCATCATTTTTGTAGCATTATTTCTTGGGAAAATGCATTCTGAATTTCATCCTGGAATGCTGGTAGAAGATCGTCCTGGGGGAAGGAACTTCATAGAGATTCAAGTCTAACATTGGGACACAAAGGATGGTAGAAAGGAGTAGGGTAGTTTCTCTTGCTGAAGTTTTGCTACTTCTGGTTCGGGAAAGAGGATGGGCTAAAGAAGAATAGAGACTAGGCTTCCTAGTGGCTCTCTCTGTAGGGGCACTTTGCCTAGGAAAACTAGCTGGGAGGGAGGTTCATTTGTGTTGGTGTGTTGGCACATGAGGCTTCTAGTTGCTTGGCGGTGACTGCAGCCATGTCTTTGGGCCATGGGGAGGGGGAGGTTGTGACATTTCGTAAGGCAAGTGAAGGCCATTTGGAGCTACCAGTGTTAACATTTCTCCAGTGATGATAAAAACACAGCATTAAATAATTTTGCTCATTTAAATTTACCTCTTTTTTTCTCTTCCACGGCAGGAGACTATGGCCAAAATGGAGGTGAAAACGTCACTTCTGGACAATATGATTGGTGTTGGAGATATGGTTCTTTTAGAACCTCTCAATGAGGAGACTTTCATCAATAACCTCAAGAAGCGTTTTGACCATAGTGAAATCTATGTGAGTATACACTGAAGGTCACCTGTAGTATCTAAGATAGACTTTGTATTTTGGACCCTAGAGTTGGCTTTTCTTCTTCAGACTCTTCTCTCTTACTTCATTAACATTCAGAGGTATTTGTTTATACCCTCAGAAAGAGTTTTGAGTGTTTGATGATTTGGCACATGAGTAATACTGATTATAGAGTCAGGTGAGTTTGCTTTCCAAATGTCATTTGTAGAGTGCTGCCTGTATGCAGAGTACTGTACTGGATGCTGGGGACGTTCTAAAGCAAGCAGAATACTTCAGTTCATGCCCTCTGAGGAATATATGTTGAGAAGGAATTTTGAAATGTATAGACATCTTCTTGGATGCCTTCATAAGATTAGAAAAGTCTGATTATTGAGAAGCCACTGATTAAAATGCAATGCAGTGAACTGTCAAAAAGGACATGAACCATCTTGACGTTTGTAGTTAGTAGGGACAGGAGCAAATTACCACATAAGAATATGTGTTTCATCTCTGAAGATTGGAGAATGTCATGTCCTGCTGTAAGAAAGTATGATGTCATATACAAAAATGAAAACATACAAATATATACATTAATAATGGAGATTTTTCTGTTGTAAAAATTCTTGATAAAGGATTATATAGTGTTACTGTAACTATCAAGTTCCCTAAGTATATTTAAAATGTGAGTATAAGTACGTTTGCATACAGCTTTTCAGGCTTTGCATAAAGTATAGAAATTTGCATTTGTGGAAATCAAGATGTGTTGTTAATTAAACTAAGAAAATGGGACATTGAGTCCCTGTTTCAGGGGCTGAGAAGGAAACAGGATGAAGTGGATAGAGATAGTTTTAATAGATTTTGCCTTATTTCTGAGTTCTCTTTCTGCCTTTTTACAGTGTACATCTGTGCCTCGAGAAGAGTTGAATTGGAACATGTTTTATATTTTTCTGTCTATCAGTGTGGGCGTTACAGGAGGAAATACACATAAATAAAAGGGGGAGGTTGTAACTGATACAAAGTAGAATCGATAATAACCTTTATGAAAGTATTATATCTTTAAAAACTACGTGCAAAACTATATTCTTTATCTCATATGTAGCTTTCCTTTCCAGATAGTTAACCGTGTTTCAAGAATAATTTTGAGTATTTAATTTCTTTGTGAAATATTTGTCATCATCTAGGAATTGAACTGTTCATCCTTCTTGGTTTGTACTGTTGGAGGTGGGGGAAGGTTGACAGGAACATGGTATTTGTGAATACTGTTTTGGGAGTATTAATTTATCACTGGCCACTAAACTGAGGTGTAGTTACAGTTTAGAGATGCAGTTATTTAAGATGCTGAGTCAAATGGAAAAGGTATATAAACTGCTGTTGCGGAGCAGGGAAATGGTATTGTTTGGTTTGGCAGTGAGGCTGGGTGTCAGCTTACCTCAAGTATAGCAGTTCAGCAGTTCAGCTTTCAGGTGGGAAAGGCTGACAGTTCTGCAGCTTTAATTGAAAGTATGGTCTGATAGCAAATAAGAGACAGACTTTAAACCCTGGTCTTTGAGATGGAGATAGGAGGAATCAGTTATATCGTAGTTAATGTTACTGATCGTTTTTCTTTTTGGCTTTGAGAAGTACAGTTCACTTTTAGATGAATTGAAAATAGGATGGAGAGTAGAACATTACATGCATTCAAATACCTGATTTGTTGTGACGACTGGAAAGAAAACAATCCCCTTTTTAACCAAATGCCAAGTGTTAACATTCACGAGTCTCTAGCAGACGAAATGTCTGGGCTTTAGTCCTACCTAATTTTATTTCCTAAACCATTTTAAGAATGCCCTTTCTGCTATAAAACAAAAGCAGAAAATTGCTTTCTGCTTCCAGATAGTCATATCGATTAACATTTTCCATGATGCTTTAAGACTGCCATTTCCATAAGATGTATGCCTTCATTTCATAATCTTGAAAACCCATCATGTTGGAGGATTGAGCATTCTCTATTTTAAGTGAAAAAAAGCAGGTTGTAGAGTAATGTGTACATATAGCGTGATCTTAATTTTTTTTTTTTAAATGGAGGGGAGGTGATTTTATGAACGTATACATATGTTTGTGTTTATTTTTTATGCACATAGAGAAAGGCATGTTGACTTTGGGGGATGGAATGTGGGATGGGGAGGATTACTCTTTAGACCTCTGTATCATATGATTCATTAAGACAAGGATGTATTGCTTTTATAATTAAAAAAAAAATTAAGATAAATTTAATTACCAGACCCCCCCACCCCCACCCCCACCCCAACCCCACACATCATGTAAGACCACCCTTGGGAAATCTCTTTCTGGTTTTAATTCTGACAGCACTCCTTGTTTGCTTTTGTTCATAGTTGCTGCAAAATTGTTTCGCTTGATGCCGAAGGCTAAGTTAATATGACACAAAACATTTTACTTTCTTTTACTTCATTTTTCAGTTCTTTCACAGGTAATGAATTTCCTGCAAGGTACAGTTTTTAATTTTTTTAAAATTCTTTTTTGTGGTTTCATAGCTTTCTCTTATACTGTGAAAGTGGATGACTACTTAGAATGATCCATCATGCCAGCATATTGAAATATTTGTTTATTCAGAAGTCATGGCTGATAAGGGCCAGTGAACAGATGGACCCTTGGCCCAGACCTTTGAACTCTGGCTATGCCCATAGCCTCAGAAGCCTCGTATGTGAGTGAACTCAGAGTCAGGGGGCCTTGTTCTTCTATCCTGCCATCCATCTACCTCCTGCATGTCTAGAAATAAGAATCAGTCCCTGCCTTCACAGAACTCTCATGAGGGGTTGCTTGCCTCGGGATGTGAGTCCTCAGCTCTGTAGAGCAGTTACAACCCCTGGTGATCCTGTCGTACTGAACCTGAAGCTCTGGGTAGAAGAAGGCTTTTTGGAGCTAGTCAGGAGTGTCAGTTGTGATAGGTTGTGTTTGCTGCAAGTAACAGACACCCAACCCAATCTGGTTTAAACAATAAAAGGAGATTTATTTACTTGTGTACCCCCAAGTCCAGAAGTAATTAGCTTTCAGAGCTGGTTTGATTTTGTGACTCACTGATGTCACCAAGGACTTCATTTCTTTGTGTCCGTCTGCTATGCCTTCTGTGGTTGTTGTCTTCATTCTGAGACTTCATAGTGGTAAAGCAGCTGTAGCATTTCAGGATTTGTGTTCATACACCATCCCATCCAGAGGAGGGAGGATGCTTCGACCCTAGCAATTCTCAGAGTCCTGAGAGTCACCTTGGGTAGGCCACTTACATCACATGCCCACCTCAAACCAGTGACTGTGGCCAGGTGACTGGAATGAACTGAGTGCCTGAAGAATGATGTCTTACCCTAGAGTTGGGGTTGGGTCAGCTTTTTCCAAAGTAGATGAGTGTGCGGGACAGGAGTGAATACCCAACCAAATATATCTGCTAGGAAGGGGAAAAAGGGAATGGATGCTGAGGATGCCACCAAATGTAAAGCCCTCACAGGTTTGGTAGGGAATTCTGTAATGAGGTGGCTGCACTGACGTTCACCTCTCACTTAGACGTTGTGCCCCATGGAAAGTTTTTATCACTTGGGTCCCAGGCTTCAAGTGCACCCAAAGACATCTTCTCAAACTTTCTTCCTGAAGAATTCCTAATGGCAGAGAATAGTAAATAGGTGTCCCAGGGAGCCTAGAGGCATGGTTGAAGTCAATCCATTTTAGGGAAATTTTTTTGAAATCTTAGTTTCCGAAGTAATTAAAAGTTTTATTCTCTTCTGTAATGCGTATGGGTTGGGTTTGTTTTAATCTAATATGCTCCTTCCAGTCCTTCTTTGAGTAAAATGGATGCTCCTGAATATTTGCTGTTTGTTTTGAGGAGGGGTCACACATGTGTTTGAAAAGCACAATCATAGCCCTGTTTGTGGCCGAGCAGAGTGTAAGTGGTCTCTAAATCTGGAACAGTTCTAGATATTGATGGGGTCTTTGTAGTAAGGGCCTAGGGTTGTTCAGTTGGAGATGGAGGAGGATCAGGTGAGATGAGACAAAAGTTGGATTGATAGGGTAACCTTCAGGATCAGAGACTGTTCTGCTTTCATTCCTCCCTCTTGGCGCAGAGTACAGTTCAAGCTGTGAGCAGCTGCAGGACATGCTCTTTGGTGTAGCAGTCTCTGGGGTCTGGGGGGTGGGAAATGCTCATCATGACATTCCTGAGTGCTGCTCTTCTGTATCCTTTCTGTCCTTTGTCAGATCTTCTTCTGGCCTCCCCAGGCCAGATGGAATGGTGGCAGGATTTCATGTGGACTTTTATTGTAACGTAGGAGAGACAGAGCTGAGATCCAGCCAGACATGAGTCTGTTTTTAGGATGGCTGGTCAGGACTGTGGTTCTGTTCAGGAACAAGAAAACTACAATTTAGGCAAAAACAAAGCCCAGGAAAAATCTGGAAACTAAAGAAGCAAGGTGTCTATTCTTTGACAAGTATTTTTGGTGCTTACAAGTGAATTTAGTTTGTTTTCTGTCTGAATTGTCAGGTTGGGCATCATCCAAATATAGAGGTCCCAATTAGTCCAGTTTTAGGATCTCATGCTCAACTAATTGTAGTTGTGTTACTGCTTCAAAAGTCAAGTAAAAATTGTTTGATTTTTAGAACTTAGCTCTAAAATTAGGATCCCTGTAGGATGAGATCAAGTACTTTTTATGAAAGATACTCAAATATAAGTACCATGGATTTTGTTTAAAATATTGCAAAGGAAATGAAAATAATACCAGATAACAAGTATATATTTATTTGAAGTTTCGAAAAGTCCTGACCACATGGCTGTAGCGTATATTCCTGGGAATTTGGCATAAATGGTGCGTTAGTTTTCTCGTGCTGCAAAACAAATTACCACAAACTTTGTGGCTGAAAACAGTGCACATTTATTTGTTTCCGTGGGTCTGGAGTCTGGCCATGGCTTAGCTAAATCCTTTGCTCATGGTCCCACCAGACTGCATGCAGCCAAGGTGAAAACTGAGCAC